ATGGAATGCAATATTCTTTCACAAATGCATTAAGATCCTTGCACTGGCTTATTAGTACTAAGACATGAAAATTACTTGAAAACTAAGGAGGAAGAGAGGTTTCTTAAAGATAGGTTCCTAGGGGTCACCACCTTGACAGCCAATAAGAAGCTTCCATTTGCTAATAATGTTCAAAAGACACCTCTTAATATAGTCAGACTGGAGAAGGTTCTGAAATCTGAGTGTAGCTAACTCTTCCTGTATTGCCAAAGGGCAGATGTTGGAGAGTGGCATTGCAAGGTGAGATGCATGTCAGCTTATAGGTCCCCTACCCCCTGCCTTCCGGGTATGGATAATTATAATTTTCTCATTTTCCTGAAAGATTGCCCATGACTTGTATGTTTATAAAAGAAGTTTTAATACTTATAGGTCAATTTGGTTTTGAAAAACCTGCCTTTGAGGGAAGGCTCCTTAGTAGTTGTAACCTGGATTTTCTCAAACTTCTCTCCCAGAGAGACACACATTTCTAGATAATTAGAGAACTTCAGGTGGGAATGTTACTTTGCCTCTGGCTTTTATGCCTTAAAATATGACCTAAGGCAACCTACCATTTATCAGAAATGAAATATGTCATATGTTACTATTAAAGTGAACCAGAAAAAGAGCATTCTATTACAATAATGGGTTTTGTTTAAAAAAAAAAAGTAAATGTCAAATCCCCAAAGGAATAATACATATGTGATACTATTATTGGAATAGCAATACCAGTAATTGCATGAGGGACTTCTATCTAGTATTGTTCATACAGTGAAGAAATTTTATGTAAACCTTTCAGTAGAATTATTCTGTTAGAGAAAAATGAGAAACAGCATCATTATTTGTGCAATCAATGTACATTTATGGGGGGGGTGACAGCATGTCAGCTATCATTCTAAATGCTGGAATGCAAAGAAAGAAAAAGAAAGACTAGAACATCTTTCTGCATTCAAGGAACTCACATTCCAGTTGAAGACAGAGATCTAGCAACCAAGTACATTGCGATGTCACAACAGTTAAAAATTCTAACAACCAGGAGAGTGCTTTGCAGAGAACATTTCATTCTGGCAAGAGAGTCTGCTATCCTTAGTGGCCTTTTAGAATTGATCTGGAACTTAAAATAGCAGGATGAAGAGCATGTTAGGCAGATGGAACAGCATGGGCAAAGGTGTAGCCGTAGTAAAAAATGACACATTCAAAGTTTTGTGTAGCTACAGAGGTCAGCCTTTCAAACTGTCTCATGTCAAATACTTGGACCAGTTTGAGTTGAAGAAAATTAAGGGATTTTCAAACAATATAATTTTATAAAATGAATGTATTTTACATTATACTCTATAGGGCCAAAGCAATGAGACTAGGAGACACAATACTGCGTGGAATAAAAGTGTCATTCTCATCATGACTCATCTGTGAACTCAGGAAAATACACTTACATCAAGAAATGCAGGAAAATTGCTCACTTCACATGCTTATGGGTGGATTGAACCTAATTTTGCAGCATTAACGCAAAATTTCTCCGAGAAAACATGTCACCAAGGATGGCAGGAACCTTTATAATTGTTAATAATATTTGTTGCTGCGATGTCACCTTTCATCCTGAGATCAGTGCTGTGCACATGGGAACAGATAAGCTCCAGAGAAACAGAGATAATACAAATATAGTAAGTCAACCGCATTTCTATCTTCCACATTCCAAGGTCTTTTCAGCTCAGTAGCTGAAAAGGTGTATTTTTCTCACCTGTAGAAGTTGGTGGATATGGTTATAAAGCAGTGATTTTTTAAAAAGATTTATTTTTATATATTTATGCATACAAGAATGAGGGTGTAGGCCACAGGTCTTGGGGGGCCGGGGGGAGAATATTCACCGAAGACAGAGTGGGGAGCAGAACAGGCAAATCTACTGAAATACACCGCCGAGAGGATCAGTGGGTGAGACAGGAGAGGTCTGCTGCACCATGTGGGTAGCTCCCTGGCTGGGGGAATTGAACTCATGCTGCAGTGGATGCTGATAGCTTGATAGTGCTGAGACTTAACCCCTTGCACCACCAGGGAGGCATAGTGTTCCTAGGGAGATGAGCTTTTGGACACATCCATCCCCTTTCCTTGGTTTCTTTGCTGATTTCATTCTGAGGACACACCAGCAATGACTGAGAATCTTCATGGATTCTTCAACTTCCTCAAGAGATTAACATGCCATTGTCACCATCATCATCACAACAACAACAACAACAGCTACTAACACTTATAATACACTCACTTTGTACCTGCACTATATTATTCTTCTAAGAATTTGATCTATTCCCAAGGTTAATTCCACACCAATATTATAGGGTAGCTCTGTGCAATAGAACTTTCTGTGATGATCTATGTGTTCCAAGTTTCTGCCATCCAATACCGTAGCTACTGGCCACAGAAGGCTAGTGAGCATTTGCATTGTAGCTAGTGCTATTGAGGATATGCATTTTAAAAATATATTTATGGTTAAAATTTATCAAAATAGCCACATGACTACTGACTTTGGAAACTAAATATTTTAAAATAAGTCCAATAGTCTTCATGTGGAGAACTTTTTATTCCAGCCTTCAGGTAAACATTTAATTCATATGTTGGCCCTTTGCATTAAAACCACCTCCCCAGGGCTACTGTGTCTTGTGTGTGACAATATGTGAATAAAATTACATGTGAGTAAAAAAAGCGATTAGAAGACTAATGACATCTATGTAACTTAGATGTTACCCTTGCTAGAAAAAGCGACATAAGTAGCCCTTGGTTTGAACCATCTGTAGCCAAAAAGTAACATATGTTTGCTTTGTTTACTCAACAACCAAGTGTAAACTGATACACCGAACAAGAAATCCCTGTATGGTATGAGATTCTGTATGTGTGTGTGTGTGTGTGTGTGTGTGTGTGTTGGGGGGTGTGTGGCCTGATGAGGGCGTCAATCTCTTCCCTGCCCCCTGAGGAACATGTGCACAAGCGCCGATTGGTGGGGTGTCCTCGGGCTGGGGGCGCACACAGAGGCAGAGACGCTTCCAACAATGACCCGCTGGCGAGCGAGCCCCCGCCACAGCCCACGGCGCGCCTGGCTGGTGTGTAGTTGAATGCAAAGCTACCCCCCGCCCCCCAACTCTCCTTTCTCCGCCTCTTCTCCCCGCCCTTCCACCGGGTCTCAAACTTCAACCCATACCGTGCCCTTTTCAATTAACCCCCCTCGATCAAAATGAGCATTTCTTTTCTTTGCTCAGCAGCCCATTGTCTGGTGTGATAGATTTGCAGATTTGACAGCTGGGCTCACTCAGACTTGATGCAAACTCCCTTTCTCTGAGAACGAACTTGGACATCTGCAAAGATCCCGAACACTGAGCTGCAGGACAGCAGCTGCTCCCCGGCCCCCGAGGCTGTTCCCCGGCCCTTCTCTGGCCGGAGCGTGGACTTCGGTGCGGTGCTGGGGCGTCCCCGGCTGTCGGGAAGGGCGCGCGCGTCCCAGCGGCGCAGGGCTCCATCCCGCGCCCCTGCGAACGCGTGGTCCCAGGGATGGGGTGGGGGGCAGTGCATGCGCTGGGCTTTTCAAATTATTGTTTTACAATTCACTCGAAACAGCCAAGATGGAGGTCAGCGGATCATTTCCTAAAACCAGATCTGACGCGTTAAAAATGCAGCGGGCCTGAGGCAGCTTTTGTCTGCTGGGCGACCTGGAGGAAAGAGGCAGAGACCGCGCGAGCCAGTGCGGGCCGCGGGCGCCGGCGGGGGGAGGGCGGGCTCCTCCCGCGATCGCGGCTCTGGGGACCTGGGTCTGAGTGTGTCTTTCACGCGCTAAGTCTTAAGTCACAGCCGCGAGAGGCGTGGGGAAAACTTTGTGTTGGGAAGAAGGTTACGATTGCAGTAGAACGGAAGAGAGAATCCTTGTGCATTGTGTCCTTTTGTGTTTGTGAGTGTGTGTGCGTGCATGCGTGCGTGTGTGTGTGTGTGTGTGTGAGAGAGAGAGAGAGAGAGAGAGAGAGCGAGAGAGAGAGGAGCGAGGCGAGAGCGCGCGCTCCGGGGCGCTAGCGGCGGTCCTCTGCATAGCGCTCCGCGTCCTGCGCGCGCGTGCGGGGTCCGGCCCCGGGTCCCACAGCCCACGAGCGGGCTCCTCTGCGGCGCCGGTGCGGGAGAGCATCCGAAGGGACCGGTGGGAACAGGAGCAGGCGGAGGGTCCTGTGGCTAAAGCCGGCCTTGGAACGCGCTCCCCTCGCGCAGCTTCCAGTACCCATTAGCATCCCTCTACCCGGCATCCAAGCCGGGGACTCTGCTGGGAAATCGTCCGGGCCCAACCCGGTCCTCCCATCTCTCCAAGGTTACCGCATCTTTCTTCCTAGGGCACAGAAGGGAGCCCAGAAAGGGAAGGAGGAGGCGGGGCACCCCAAAGAATAAAACAAACAAATAAACTGGCTCCATTCTGGAGCTGGGCATAGTCGGTCGAGTCCAGGTTGGTGGCGTTTGGAGACAGTTTTCTCGTCCTGTCCTTTTGGAAACCCAGGGCGGCTTTCCCGCTGCCTCTTCCCCTCGTGCACGCACCCCTCAACTTTGGGGCCCGGGGGCGCAAGGCGTGCGGGGCTGCACCTGCCCAGGCGCGCGGGGGCTGCGGGCCGGAGCGCTCGCCCGAGGCGGCGGCGTGGACGCGCCGAGTCGCGGCCCCGGTGTGTGTGCGCCGCGCGGCGCCGACGCCGGGGAGGGCGCGGAGGACCTGCGGCGACTAGGGGCGCCCCAGGCGGGTTTCGGCCCCAGCCTTGGCAACGGTCCCCCTCGCTCGGTTGCACTGGAAAGGGGTCGGGCAGCGAGGGAGGGAGCCGGCGACGCGGGACGGCGATTGGCGGCTCGCGCGGGGAGGGCCGGCGGCCGGGCGGGCGAGCCGGGCGAGGAGGGGCGGCGAACTTGCAGCCGCGAGAAGGGGCTCTCCCCGCGCCCGGGCTGGCGTGAGCGCCGCCGCCGAGCGCTTGGGCTCCGGGCAGCGCCAGGTCCCTCGCAGCCCTCGGAAAGTAATGTTATTTATTCGCCTGCATTCAGCCTCTTGGGCTGGATCCCATAGACGCCCCGTTGGACTTTGGGCGCCCGCGTCTGACCTCTCCAGCCCCTATCTTTCCGGTGCAGGCGGCTCCCCGGAATACACGCATATGCACCCCTCGCGCCCCCGCCCCGCGCTCGCACCGGAGTAGGGGTGGGTCCTCCGCCGGGCGCTGAAAAGTCCCCCCAGGCTGGAGCAGGGGAGGGGAGAGGGGCGGGGGACGCTCCCGCGCTCTCGGCTCTCGTTTCAAAGCGCAATCTTCCTTCCAGGTTGGGTCGGACCTGAACCCCTAAAAGCGGAACCTCCTCCCGCCCTCGCGCCAGCCGCGCGTCAGGAGCTGAGTCGCCGGCGGAGGTGGCGGTGGACGGGCCGGGAGTTTCCTCTCGCCCTGGATGGAGCTGAACTTTGGGCGCCCGGAGCAGCGCGGCCGTCCGGGGATCGCTGCGTGCTGAGCTCCCTCGGCGAGACCCAGCGGCGGCCCGGGATTTTTTTGGGGGGGCGGGACCAACCGCGCGCCGGCACCATGTTCCTGGCGACCCTGTACTTCGCCCTGCCGCTCCTGGGTAAGTCGAGGCCGCCGCTAGCTTTTTTCTCTGAGTCTTTGTAAGGGGCGCTTGCGGCAGCCCTACCCGCCCCCCACACCCGCAAATTGCGGCGCGGGTGCCTTGTGCGCGAAAGGGCGAAGTTTCGTTTTGGGGAAGGGGCTGTGGAGTCCTCGACACCCCGGGCTGGGAGGCGGTGACGGCGCGGCGCTCGCCCGCAGCTTTCCTGCTGGGCTTTTATTTTCTGTGGTTTCTAATGAGCCAGCCTGGCTGGGCATGAAGGGATCCGAGCAATCCAGCCTCAGACTCAGCGCTCCTTGCGCGTCCCGGGGAGGAGGCGGAGGCCCGGCGGGCAGGTGGGGTGTGGACCAGCACTGGGTCGGGAGAGTAAACTTCGAAGGGAAAACTTCCCCCACACCCCCGTCCCCCAAGAGCGTCTGGGTGCTCCCCGCCCGGCGAGCCTCGGACCGAGGAGCTGCTGCGCCGCGCAAAGCCTGCCGCACTATTTGGAAAGCTCCCCTCGGGCTTCGGGCAGGCTGGGGGGATGGCGAGATTGGAACTGGGGGGCGTGGGAGGGCGGCTGCGGAGGCCGAGCAGCGGTTTCAGTCGGGCGGCCCCAGCCGCTGGGACCCGCGCGCACTACGGGTTGCGCCGGCTGCCCGGCAAAGCGCAAAAAGCCCTCCAGCGTCTCCGGTCTAAGGGGACTGGGGATGGGAGGCAGAGGACTGGGGGAGCTGGGCGGCTGTAGGTCCAGGGCGCGAGCTGCATCCCAGGCCTGGGTGGGGGGCGGGGGCGCGGGTCCGGCCCCTGCGCCGGGCGCCCCAGCAGCCTGACCAAGCCTTCCCCTCCGCGGGCAGGGGAACCGGGGCGTCTTTGCAACTGCGCTCACGCGCCTGCCTCCACCCGCAGACGTGCTCCTGTCCGCCGAGGTGATCGGCGGGGACCGCCTGGACTGTGTGAAAGCCAGCGATCAGTGCCAGAAGGAGCAGAGCTGCAGCACCAAGTACCGCACGCTGAGGCAGTGCGTGGCGGGCAAGGAGACCAACTTCAGCCTGACGTCCGGCCTGGAGGCCAAGGACGAGTGCCGCAGCGCCATGGAGGCCCTCAAGCAGAAGTCGCTCTACAACTGCCGCTGCAAGAGGGGCATGAAGAAGGAGAAGAACTGCCTGCGCATCTACTGGAGCATGTACCAGAGCCTGCAGGGTACGCGCCTGGCCGTCGCCCCCCTCCTGCCCCCAGCCCTCCTGAAGGCAGCCGGCCCCTGGGCCCCGGGTCTGGCTGACCTCATCCTCCACTCACTTCTCCCCAGCTGCAGAAAGAAGACCTTTCATTGGCCCCCAGGGACAGCAGCAGCTGGTGTTTGCTGCTTCCCAAGCAAGCATTGTTGGGGCCTGTTTGTTAGAAAACCCACGAGGGGTTGGGGGACACCCCCAGGACCCGGCTGACCTCTCTGAAACTTGGTCAGAGCCACAGACTAGAAACCCATTAAAAGTCCCACCTGAGACCCTCGACTTCCCTCCCGAGGAGAGCCTGCCTGAGGCTTTAGCTCACTTCACAGACTAATGCTACAAAGACTTGCTCTTCGCCTTGCCTGGAGTTTACCCTTTTCTTCTTCCCTTCTAGTTATTCTGAGTTAAGCTAAAGAATTAAGTATGAAAGGTCCAGTAGAATCCGTTGTGTCTCCCCCTCCCCTCAACACACAACCTGATCAAAGGCACATGTGTGGAAAACCATTTGTCATCTTCTCCATTAGCTGAGTCGTGAACCAGATGGTGTGGTTCAACCTTGGTTAACACAGTAGTGGCTCACAGAGAGAAAGGCCCACTTGTCACAGCCATCCTTTCCAGAGGGAATTTTTCGGTCTGTGCTCCAGAGGTAGCTCGTGTTGGTAAATCTAACACAACATCAGCACATTCATTCTGACGAGCTGAGACTTAACGCTGAAAATTTGTAATACACAGATTTGACCTCTCAGCTGCCACTTCCTCCAGAACCTATTAAAGAAAACCTCTTTCAGAGACTTGACTGTTTCATAGCCAGGGGTACCTGCTTTTTGACTGCATGCCGTGTTTTGGGAGCAAAGAAAACAGGGCCCTCTTTGGGACCACCTTTCTACCATTGGCTCCTGGAGGCAAGCTGGGTTTGTGACGTCACTGGCTCCTTCCTCTCTGATTTCATTCCTTTGCAAAGAGTGGGAGAGTTTTCTGGCAAGAGCAGGCTGGGTTGCTCTCCAATGTTTTCATGGCACTCTGGAGAGCAAGGACAACAACGGCAGGAATGAAAAGAAATAACCACAGCCAAATAGAGGCATTTGAGATCTTTGAAAGTTTCAGCATCTTTTTTTTTTTTGTTACACAATCATACCATAATTAGAATTCAGATTCAGTAACAAAAACTGCCTGAAACGTGTCTATTTTCCATATCTGAGCCTAATCTTTCTGTTGTTTTCAGGAAATGATCTGCTGGAAGATTCCCCCTATGAACCAGTTAACAGCAGATTATCTGATATATTTCGGGTGGTCCCTTTCATACCAGGTAAGCAGATTTATACTTCCACTCTGGTGCCTTTGCCTGCTTGAAATCTCTTGGCTTGCCTTCTCTTGGGCTCTCAAATAGTGTATAAGTAGATAGTTGAATGGCACAGTGTTTCTGGGAAGTTAGCAAGAGGAGGATGATAATGAAGAGGCAAAATGCCTAGAGATGATTGTGTGACTTGAAAGTAATTCTAAATGAAGTAATGTGGCGTGGTGGTTTGGAAGAGGCTGGAGGGAGGTGACTGAGTCGAATTTTGTTTTGCATGAAAATGATTGGCCAACTCTTGCAAAGGGAGTGCCACTTCTGTCTGTAGGTGGCAATCGAATCCCCTTCTTGCTGTATACCTCCTGCATAGCATCTCTGAAACCGGATCTGTTCAGATGATGCCACATACTTTACAAGACATCTGAAGATCATCTTCAATGGATGAAGAATTTTGGATAGACTCACTTGTCTCCTTTTGAGTTAACAATTCTTTAGTTTCTTTAGTTTCTCCTGAACAAGTATATGCACATATAAGAGAATCCCTAACTGCCTCCGTGGCCCTATAAAAAGTAATCTTGCTTATCCAAAGTTTATTTTGTCTTGCTTAGCAATTCTACGTTTGGTTTGGACGTGAACTTGGTTTTAAAATGAAGTTTTTCATAACATCTGCATTTAGACCACCTCATCTATAATGAGCAAGGCAGTAATTTCTCTTAATGACATACAGATTCCAGACTGACCTTGTCTTTATTTGTTTACAGTTCAAACATTTTCTCAAGTACATAGAGTCATCACAAATGACATGTTCTTGGTGGTTAAACACAGTGGTCAGTGTTGAATTGGACATGATAGTTTGTTACTGGCGAGAGTGTTCTAGTGTTCCAAATATTTTGTTTTCCTGTAGAAAGCCACAGAGCCAAGGGAATATGGACTGCTATTATGTGAGGTTGGATTAGACATCCATCCATTGGGTACCTACAACCTTTTAGCCATTTTGGCAGTGAGCCAGACAGATGTCGTCCTACCCTCATGAATCTTAGAGACAGTCAGCAATTGACATTTATTAAGCCCTTCTTATAAGCCACACACTGTGTTAAGAGCTTCACATCATTAATTTATATAATCCTCATCAAGTGCTGCTTCGGTATTATTGTTTCCATTTTAGAGATGAGGCAATTGAGGCAGTGTGGAATTGAGAAGCCAGCCTAGGAATCACCAAGCTCCTAACTGATGGAACCAGAATTTAAACCCATGTTGGACTGAGTCTAAGCTTTTGGAGCATCTGCCTCTTGGTGCTGAGAGTGTGGTCCTTAGACCAGCAGCCTTAACATCATCAGGGAGTTGGGACAGAGATCTCAGGCCTCATCTGCTGAATCTGAGTTTGCAGTTTAAGAAAAGCCATGGACTGGGTGCTTCATAGGCACAGGGAGGTGGAGAAGCATTCCTGTTTGTTCAGAGGAAGTGTGTGTGTGTGTGTGCGCATGCATGCGTGTGTGTGTGTTTCAGAGGCATCCATATATTATCCTGAATAATGTCCATAATTTCTACCCCCAGTCCCTACCAGTGCACTCTCTCCCCTTGCACAGGCAGGTCAGTGGCTCAGGCAGTGAAGGAGAGGTGCACAAGGAAGAGTGTGTGACCCTCTGGGCTCTCAAGGGAACAGGTCTGTAGAACTAAGGTGGGAGTGGCACATGCGATACCGGTAGTGAACCTGGATTTCCTAGTGCCTTTGAAGGGCAGTGGCCCTTACCTGCTGCCTCTCCCACAGGACTCTTACTCCTCAGTTTAAAGGATATACACCTCCCATGGACAGTGGGCACAAGAAAGTGGGGTTTTCATTTCAGGACCTCTGTGAGCTCCAGGACGTAAGCAGGCTCCTTTTCCCTTCTGCATCTCCCTTTCCTTGGCATAATGAGTCTGTTGGAGTAAATAACCTCCAGTCTCAAGAGTCCAGAATTCTCCAGGAGGTTGAAGCCATGCTGGAATTCCCCCACATAGGGACTTCTTCTTAGGACCCCTTCTTGTTGATTTTGCTCTGGCTTTTATGATAGCTATTAATCACAGCCCACCCACGGACAGGGCGTATTTACGTGTCTGTCTTTCCCACTGGAAAGTTAGGGCCTTGCTCATCTTGTTGGGTGTCTGCTGAGTGCGACACCCATGCTACTGTCCTTTCTTGGGTCACTGTGTCAGAATGGCTTGGTCATTCTTGGATACCACTGGTCGGTCCAAATTTCTTGACCAGTGTGGGAAGTTCTGCACGGGCCAAGTCCCCCTCCTTCATTTTTTGGTTGCCTCTGTCAGCCAGGTTTCTTTTCATAGTGAGCATGAGCCCGAGTTTATGAGCCCCGTCCTGCTCAGAACCCAGAAGTCAGAATGAATTACTTAGAGTGAGGAAGGCCTTGTCTGGATCTCCATCTTATATCTCAAGAGAATTGAATTTAGGTTCCAGCACTAATGAGCTTTGACCTCTGACAGCGCCTGTATGCCTTAAGTGGATACAGCAAAGCCAAATGGAGCCTTGAGAGGTTTTAAGTCATTGAATAATGCATATTATCCAGGTTGGCATTTGGAGCGTGGGGAAAGACAGAGGAGCAGGATGATAAATGTTGCTTTTCATGGGTTGAATCTGAGTTTCTAGAACATTTTCCGCCTTGAAAGCCTCTGAGGAAACCAGGACAACTGGGCCTCTGCCTTTTATAGATAAGGTAGCAATCAGAGTTTCCATATTTGGATTTCTCTGCCCAGTGTTTATCCACATACATTAAGTGTGAGCTGAATCCTTTCACGAACAAGACATGTTTGACATGCTGTACTTCCATGTTCTTTGGCCTCCTCAAACTGGGGCCATCTTTGTCATTGTTTATTTGATCACCGGTGAGCTATGATCCATAGCCTGGCTGCTGGCACAAGGAAGAAGAAAAATAAGGTAGGATCTAAAAATGGTCATCTCTGACCTGAAGCCTGAGCTGCAGAGGGGAAATCAGGAAGCCTCACCCGGGAGAACTGTGGTGGGGTTTGGAGGGCTTGCTCCTGTGGAAACTCAGTAGTGAAATCTTTGGTCTGTGAGGTACTTTGAAGGCCTGATAAGGTGTTTTTTCCTGTGGGTTGATGCCAGTGTGGATTTTAGGGGGCCTGAAACGTTAAGAATGTGGCAGTGAGCTGGAGGACTCAAAGGAAAAGAGTGAACCAGTGCAAAAGGGTGTCAGAGGAGAGGAGAGAAATAGCAGGGCACCCTGGGGTGGGAAGGCAGAGCTGTGTGGGTGCTGGGGGCCCAGAGGAAGCAGCCACCACGGGGTGCTCACCCCTCCTCTCCCAGCCACAGGGCTGCTCTTTAACCTCCATTCCACCTCACCCTTTCTTCCTCACAGAAGTTGACAAGTGGCAAGAAGTGATTTGAAATAGTGATTTGAAAGGAAGACAAACCTGTTGGTGATGTTTTCGGACTCTCCCGGAGAACAAAGCAGTGAGAGAGTTTGAAAGTGCAGTAGGTTTGAGGTTGGAGGATCTGAGAATGGACAGAGCCTCTCCAGGAAACAGGGCCCTGAGGTCTGACAGGATTGACCCAGAGGTTGCATTTTGTGGAGAAGAGTTAAGAGATGCCAGGCCTTCCTCAAATTTTTTTTTTTTAAGATTTATTTATTTATTTATACAAGCACTGGGTACAGTCAGAAGCACGGGAGGGTGAGAGAATTCACCAGAGCCAGAGCGGGGAGCAGAACAGGCAGACTGACGAAATACACTGCTGAGGGGAGCAGCGGGCGGCAGGAGAGGTCTGCGCGCCATGTGGGACCCTCGCCCGGCAGCTGGGGATCGAACTGGCACTGCAGAGGCTGCGGGCAGCTTTGCAGCCCAGCGCTCAACCGCTGCGCCACCAGGGGAGGCCCCTTCCTCGAATTTAATCAAAGTCAGTGGCTTTGGAGAAAAAGAATCAAGTGGGAAGATTGTGGGGGATGACTAAAGTCAGAATTTGAACAACCTAAATCTGATGTGGTAACAGGCACGCTCCTGCTTGCGCACCCGTTCCTGAGTTCTCAGAGTGACTTCCACCTGCCAAGGAAGCCATGGGGTCCCGTGCTGGGTCCCCCCCATATCAGGGAATGGTTTGCTTCAGGATGAGGTGCCCCTAAATCCCTTCTGAATCTAGCCCTTTTTTCTCAGTGATGCTGTCAATAATTAGCCATGTTTCACTTTTCTGTTTTAACGTCTTCTCATATTTAGGTCACTATTACAAAAAAGAAACTTTTCTTAAAAAATTGTACATGTTGAATAAGAGCTTTATAAGGTCACCCTCTGTCTTGTCAAATCATGACAAGAGAAAAGGGCTTGTAAATGCCAGCTAGGGGTGTCGGTAGCCCCTTGCTTTCCACTCTGCCGTTTGCAAGAGCTCTCTAATTGTGTTGGCTCCTCTGTATTTGAATGCCCTGTTGCTTCCTTGGTATCATTCTGGCACATATGGTAAACTCCCTGGCAGGCCATTTGCCCCCACTGTCCTTCTGCCCCCTCAACTCCTCTCCACTCAAGCTTGTTGAGCTAAACCAGGTGTTTCATGCAGATTCTTTGTTGCATGTTTGCACCTGGCTTTGCCTCTCTTTGGGAAGTTTCTATTCTTCAAGGCCAAGATCAGATTTCCTCTCCAAGGGCCATGCTGGAATTCCCCCAGATAGGCACTTCCACTTAGGACTCCTTCATGCTGTGTTTTGCTCTTGTTTTTATAATAGCTGTTAATCACAGCCCACAGACAGGATTTATTTATGTGTCTGTCTTTCCCACTAGAAATTAGGAACTTGCTCATTTTGTTGGGTGTCTGCACGCCACAGGCATCCTTCCTGGTGCTAAGCAGGGTCCTGTTAACCAGAGGTGGTTGGATACAGAGGAGGATCTTAAAGACCTCACCCAACCCTTTGCTTACACAGAATTGAAGCTCAGAGAGGGGATGTGGTTTGGCTGGGTCATACTGTTTGGAGGTAGCCTCAGGGACCTTGCCAGATCATGGCACTGCCTTAAGGGGGGTG